CTATTTTCTAACTGCTCTACAACAGCCTCCAAAAAGAGCATCTTTTATGTCTTTACTGAATCAGTAACGATGAAGCACTCCTATGTTCCTGATGTGACACCAGCAGATCAGACATGTGAACAAAAATATTTCCCACAACATGAACATGGCAATGGCTTAATCAGCCAAGAATATAAAAATACTCCAGCAAATATTCCAGACCTAAGCATGATGCCTGCATACTTAAAATATCATCACCGAGTCAGATGTTGAAATCCTAAATATCCAGCTCCAAATAGCTTCTCTGTAAATATGCTCAAATTTTAGTTTTCAGTCACTGAAATATTTTATGGTTCATTACCAGAATTGCAAAACATTTGTGTAAATGCATCTGTCTACACATGGCAGTGAATTTAAATATATACACCCCTTGAAAACGTGGTCAGTACACAAACTTCCCTAGTTTTTAGTATATATAAGCATGGCCAAAGTATATAAAAAGTAGAGGTGCACAAATATATCAGTGCCATATTGGACTGGCACCAATAAATGGAAAATTAACATTATCTGCTTTTTTTGGCTGGTATAGCCAATAATGTACCAATCAATATAATATGCCTTCTGGCTGGGGCCTCCATACACTGCATGCATGTGCACAGCTGCACACATGTACCAGGCAGCATGGAGAGCATCGTGCCTTGCAGATACGTCTTTGGAAGGAAAGGAGGGTGGGGAGAGGGTAGATCAAGACCCCCACAGTAAGGGAGGGAGAGGAGTAGGGGCAGGGGCTAGGGCAGGGCAGTGAATGGGACCCCGGGGAAGCAGGACAGAGCCACGGGTGGCTCTTCCAGGGGATCAGCATCCTGGCGCTTAAAAATGGCAGCGGGGCACTTGAACTAAAGCTCATTGAATGAGCTTTAGTTCAAGCATTGCTGCCACCATTTTAAAGTGCCAGGATACTTTGAACTGGAGCAGAGCCAAGTGGGGTGAGGGCAGAGGCAGGCTGCCCACTGTGGACTTGGGGCTCTTTGTCCTGCTGCCTTTTCCCCAGGAGTTGCACGCTGGCTGTGCCCCCCCCGCCTGTCCAGTGGCAGTGGCAAGCTGCCCCTAGCTGCTGGATGGGTAGGGGGCATGCAGACCGCATAGCTTCCAGGGCAAAGGCAACCAGGCAAAGAGCCCCGAGCCCATAGTGGGCAGCCTGCCTCCATCCTTGTCCTGCTTGGCTCCCGTTAAAAAAGTGTCTTGGCACTTAAAAATGGTGGCGGTAGTGCTTGAACTAAAGCTCATTTGACCACCACCACCATTTTTAAGTGCCGGGACACTGATCCCCTGAGCCTGTGGCTCCATCCCAGTCCCTGCCCTGGCCCCAGGTCCCATTCAACTCCCAGCCCCAGCCCCTCCCTCATTCACCATGGGTGCCCCAATCTGTCCCCCTCATCCCCCTTCCCCTCCACACTGCCTCGCTGCATTCCTGTAAATCAGTTATCAGATCGCTACTGACTGATATGCCTGGTGAATAATCTGCTATCAGCCAAGAAAATCTTTATTGGTGCACCCTTATATAAAAGATATAGCAACATTATGGAAATGGTTGATGTGTTCAGAGGTCTATTTCCTTCTCTCCCTCTGTGCCAAAACACCTCTGGTTTCTGAATGGAAAATTGAGACAGGTATTTTCACTTTCAGTCTTCATATACTGAATGTGTCGTGACCAATAGAGAGAGCTTTAACCCATTTAAAGCACCATAAACAGATCAGTTAGAAATTTGATTAATAGTTGAAGAAAAATAGAAGGGTAACTTTGCCAGATGATGTTTTGTCAGAAAAATATGATCAGCACAAGCTGCTGATCTAAAAATCACAGTTGTTGCTTCATATTTTTCCTCATATTTATTTTTAACATATTTATCTGATTGGCCTGAAGTTAAGAGTTTAAATATCAGCATGATTACAGGACAGACAACCATGTTTCTTATTGAGAAATTTCATTTGTGTAAAATAACAAATATAACAGTTAAAAATGGAACTAATCTTAGTAGCTCTTTCTTTTTTAAAAGAAAAAAAAAAGACATAAAAGTCTTGTTTTTTTGTTTACCATATCCTTCTTATTTACTAGAGACAACATAGGAAATGGGGGAGTATTAGGATTTTTGTTTGTTTTATATCAATATTGGACTTGTAATTGTAAGAATAATGAATCCCAAAGTCCAGATTAGATCATAACACTTTTTGTAATATGCTATATTAGGCTCCCTCTACATATGCGGCAAAAGGTGCGATCGGATCCAATACACGATCCATACCACATGTACGTGACAGGAGAAACAACTGTAAGATCACACATTAGAACCAATTGCACCTTATTGCTGGTCTAAAAGAAGCCTAATCCTGGACTCCCCCTGTATTTGCAAGAAGCAGGCACCCATGGGGAAGCTTCCTTTGTTGAGGGGGCTCCCAGCCACAGGGGCCATGCATAGCCTGGACCTAGAGACCCCACAAATTCACATGGCTCTGGCTCCTGGCACTGCCTCACATGCAGCCTGGACACAGAGTTATTCAGTTCACACCCACCCTGAGCCTTGCAGAATCACAGCAGCCATGATCCTCAGGGTTTGGGATCCTGGGAGGCCTGTCAGCTGACTGGCTCATAGCTGCAAAGGAGACCTTGCTATGCGTGGAAATTAAAGCTTGCTAGCAACCATCTATAAAGTTACTACACATTTTCAAGGTCTAACTTTATAGCTAGTTGGAGCTTTTTATTGTGCGATAGCTACTTTGCCTGTGTAGCTGGTCTCAAGGTAATTATGCAATTAACCAGTTAATTGCCCAATACCTGTAATGTGTAGAGGAGGCCTTAAAGACTGATAAGAGATTTAAAGAGCTGCTCTACTTATGTGAGGGCTGAACTTATATAATTCAGCTCTGTTTTGATAAATGGTATTCAACCAAAAGATATCTTTTTTCTTAAGGTCAGCTGTGCACAATTTGGTCACATACTGTAATGATTAGCACAGCTAAGCTGGTAGTCAGGACTTCTGAATTCTATTTTCAGACCTGAAACTGGCTCACAGCGTAATCTCATTGGGCCTCAATCTCTCCTTCTGTATGTCTCATTTCACTGACCCTGTTAAGTGTGGCCACGTAATCTTGACTACTTCATAAAGATTTTATAAAGTTTAATCACTTCTGTCTGGAAAGTTCTGAGATCTGTGAATGAGTATACAATCAAAGCAAAGTACTAAACACCTTTTTAGAAGTAAATGTTCTGCTCATGAAAGACATCAAACCAAAAGCACCAGAAAGGGAAGTAGGTACAGTACAAGGTTTTGTTTATCAACTTGTTAAAAGATTTATGTTGTAGTTCTATGGCATTTTCAGCAGCATTATCTTGTAAACTACAATATAACTGGTATAAATTATTTAGCTTAAACTGCAAAAATCATAATTGCAACATATAGACGTTCTTTGTCTCCTATTTGACTTTCTAATAAGCATAACTTGGTTTACTAAAGAAAAAGCTTGATTAAAATACCACAGTGAATTTTCCACTGGAGTTAACCTGCTCCCCAGAATGCCAAATGATCTATGAAGTCTGTTTTTTTCCACTTGGCTGCTAATACCATTCATTTCCTTCCAACATGTCACTGTGCACTATAAGGATGTATAACATTACTAGAACCCTGACTTTCTGAATTTAACCCACATTTACAATACTGTTTCAATTTTTATTTTCTTTTTTAAAGACACAAAAATATGAGTACTGAATAAAATTTTAGTAAACTATTTTAAGCGACACCAAATTTAATTATGTTTTGGTGCCAATATTTTGGCACAAAGGTTTATACACTAAAAAGAAGTATCACTTGGAAGGTGCTAAATGCTAAGGATACATGCACACGTTCACCGTTTCTGATCTATGATCCCATGGCTTACTTTAAACCATTCAGTCATAGATTGGGTCCAGCTTGTGCACACACTGCTGGTACCAAGAGCCATACCAGAAACCCAATCTAAGTAAGCTGGGGTGTGTGGGGGTGGGAGGAGGGAGGATCGGGGGAGTGGTCAGTCTGATGCACTGTTGTCCATCCAGGGGAGTCAGGCAGCTAAAATAAGCCCAGACAAGGTTGGAGGGAGGGGAAGGGGTTTAGGAAGAATGAAGCACTGAGGCTAAGCCAAACAGCTGTGCTTTACCAGCCCCAAGGCGGCGTTCCAAATATGTGCATACATTTGTCAGATTGGGCTAAAGTGTTCCCAGTCAAACTTAGTTCACCTCTTTACTAGGTAAGATTGGGCTGGCCATTTTTTTTCCAATCTAACATTCATGAATGTCTGTATAGAACAGGATTTAGATCAACCTAACCCTAGTTAGGTCTGTCTAAGAGTGTAACCTCTGCATGTAGCCTAAGTAACAGAGCTTTAGACCACAGCAGGACAGATTGTGCATTAAAGAGCAGAAAAAGCATCATTTTTTAAGATTGCGACACACAAATAAGAGGCAACTTGACTAAAAGATACTAGATGCAAATAATCCCATTATAAAAAGGGGCCTTTATAAACTGTAATTTTAGATTGCTTTTTAACTGGTACAGTATCTGTGTATACTTCTACTGATACCTATACTGTCATTTAATATTTAAAATATTAAAACATTTTTATTTTTACAATGACTAATTTTTGAAGATAAACTGCATGAACTTCAATCACTGAAATGATACATTTTCAACTGACAACTTTTGTAGCTGATACATTTGGCAAAAGGTTCCATATACAAACCTATAGTCAGCAGGAGCCAACCTGAAGCCAAAAGTCTTCATGTGAAGAGGTTTTCAGAGAAGCCTTGCCTTTCACAAAATACAATTTGATCTAGCTCCCACTGAATCAACAAGAAAATTCCTTTTGAGTTTAATGGAAGTGATATCTTAAATCAAAAGATTACTGTCAAATTAGGGGAAAGTACTTGTATTATACAAATATGGTCAAATTTAAAAGTTTTGAGTGTTCTTTACTGAAACTAAACTTACCTTGCTGTACTAATGTGGATCTCAGCATTCCAGTTTTAGACCAGATTTTTATTTGTCCATCTTCACCCACTATAAACAACAAAAACATACCACGCAAATTACAAATTTAAAATGTATAGCAGTTTAAAACTTAGTTAGCTTCAAAGTATTTTTATTTAAAACAGAGTTCCTTGACATTCACATCTTGCTACATAGCATTTTACAATAAAGCAAACATATATCTCAAGAAAAAAGTTTTTTAAACTTTTTCTTTTACTAATATCAGAGCTATTCCTCCACACTCCACATGCACATACTTTATCGTATTCTTGCCTGACACTACTTCAAGAAACAGAAAGTTCATTACCAACACCTTTCAATTAATCTGAGATCTATTCACATCTGGTAACATCAAACTATTGTTCACATAATCACAGGAAACTAGGGCTGGAAGGGACCTCACAAGGTCATTTAGTCCAGGCCCCTACTCAAAACAGGATTACCCCTGTCTAAACCATTCCAGCCAAGTGTCTAACCTGCTCTTGAAACTTCCAAGGATGGATTCTAGTTTCTTTAGGTAGCCTGTTCCAGTGCTTGACCACCCTTTGCAGTGAGAAAGTTCCTTTTAATTCCCAACCTAGATTTCCTCTGCTGCAGTTTAAAGCCATTGCTCCTAGTCTTCTCCCCTACAATCACAGAGAAAAACCGATCTTCCTTCAAGTATCTGAAGACTGTTATCAAATCCTCCCTCAGTCTTTCCTTTTCCTTGCCTCCAAAGCCCCTAAATCATTTTTGCTGCCCTGTACTAGACTCCTTCCAAACTGCCCATATCCCTCTTGAAGTATGGGGCCCAAAACTGGACACAGTACTCCAGTGACGCCTCATTTAGTACTGAATACGGTAAAATAATCACTTCTCCTGATTTGCGAGTGACATTACTGTTAATACAACACAGGGTACTGATGGCTTTTTCTTGCAACAAGAGCACACTGTTGGCTCATACTGCCAGGTTCTTCTCTGCAGTAGTACAGCTTACCCTAGGGGTGGGCAAAATATGGCCCACGGGCCGCACCTGGCCCACCAGGCAATTTCATGCAGCCCACAGGCGCCCATCCCACATGCCTCACACCCACCCTTGTGAACAGAAGTGCATGGCTCAGCCAACATGTAGCTTCCAGGTAGGGCTGCTGCTGCCACTGCTGCAGCTGCTGGGGGACCTGCCCACACCCAACACACAATATACAAAAGTAAGACCTTATTTTTGAGTTATTATGCAATCATTTCTATATACACTACACAAACACAAATCATGACAAAATACTTTTTGTAATAAAATTTAATTTAATTTAATTTAATTTATAGTAGGTATCTGACTTTTAGTATATGATTTGTTTTTTTTCTGGTTCCAAGATGGCAACCCTTCCTTCCCAAAAGGAATATTTCCTGGGGGCAAAGGGATGGATCTCCAGGGCCAAAGGTCAGGGGGCTGGACTTCTGGTCCCAAGATGGCAAACAAGGAGTGGGGCACCTGTCAAGGGGCGGGGCTACCCCTGCAGCCCTCAATAGCTCACCAAAACTCATTAAGCAGCCCTCCACCCAAAATAAATGCCTGCCCTGACCTAGCCATTCACTTCCCACTGTATTTGCGCATGCAGCTATTCCACCCCAAGTACAGGACTTTGCACTTGTCCCTGTTGAATCTCATCTGATCCGTTACCGATCATTTCTCCAGTTATTCATTCTGGATCCTCCAAAGTGTCCCTGCTTGGGGTCATCCAGAAATTTGCTAAATGTGCACTCAATGCTATCGTCCAAATCGTTAAAGAAGATCTGAAAAAATACTGGACCCATGACAGACACCTTGCGAGTCTCACTTGATAACTCCACACAACTAAACGCTGTGCTCTTGATGACTACTTGTTGAGTACAATGATCCAACCAGTTATGTATCCATCTTACAGTACTTTTGTCTAGCCTATATCTTTTTAGCTTGTTAATGATATTGTCATGGCAGACAGTGTCAAAAGCCTTGCTAAAGTCTACTGTACATCACATCTACTGCTTTTGCCTGATCCACAAAGCCTGTCACCTGTTGGTTCAAAGAAAACAGGAAGCGGTCTTAGATGCTTGCCACTTGATAAATTTAAATGATAAAAGTAGAAATTAAGGTGAAATGTAATGATAAAGTAGGATTTTAGTAGTATTTTAGCAACAATGAAGGCTTGGTGTTCAGAGCTGAATTACACATTACTAAAAATGTTGAAGCAGAAAGACTGAAGCTCCACGTATACATGCATGTGCAGTGCAGCTTACCTTCCTGTTTTAAACATGCCATTACATTAAAGTTTTATAGAATACTGTTATTCACAAAGTCTCATTAATGAAAAATAAATATTCAACAGAAATCTAAAGTTACTTCTCCCCTGTGCCAAAGGCTATCGACCTGCCAAACGTCACTTTTCTATGTATAGCAGACTAGATGTGTCAAGAATATTTTTTCTTGCAAAAAATGGTTTTTGTTTTTGGGGAGCAGACTGGGGGTCAGGGAGAGTTTTTTTAAAAGCAACGTTGTATACAACACCTAAATTGGACTTGTTCAAACTGTCTAAAATAAGAGATTCTATCTGAACAAAGGCCATCGTCTGAAATACTTCAATACCTAAGTTAAGCAATTTCAAATAGTTTTAATATAGAAACATAGTCAAACTTTAGTGAAATACTTACTAATATACAGGGATCCTGGTTTTCCCTGTTTAAAAATAGCAAATTCTCTGATAAAAAACCCCCACCTAAATTCTCCGATTTAAACCACTCAAACTCAATGTTTTTCTACAATTAAAATGAAATGCCAGTATACATACAGTTATCAATTTAACACAATGTTTATTGATAGATTTACAATTTTAATTTGGAAGCCTACCAGTGCTTCAATCACTATAATAAAATCAATTCTAAATACCAATATATTTTGGCATTTGATTTTTTTTTTTTTTAATCATGATAAATCAGCTCTTCCTGCCACCTTCGCTCACCAGGAGACGAGTCCAGCTGCAGCTGTCCCCCTGCCGCTGCTTTGTGGCACTGAGTAACCCTGATAGCTCTTGCCCTGCCTGTACCATTGCCCCTCACTTCCAAGCCACAGCCCCCTCCAGCCCTGCCAGTGCCCTTTACTCCCAACCCACAGTCCCCCGCCTCCCTAGGCCACGCTGGTGCCCCTTACTCCCAACCCCCTACCTCCTCTCCCCAGTGCTCCTCACTCCCAAACTGCAGCCCCCATCCCCATCAGTGCCCCTCACTCCCAACCCACAATCCCTTGCCCCCCAGGCCATGCTGGTGCCCCTCATTCCCAACCTGCAGCCCCCTGGCCCTACTGGTGTCAAGGCCTTTGCATCCACAGCCCCTCCCCCAATGCCCCTCCCTCCCAAACCACAGACCTCCTAGCCCTGTCTGTGCCCCTTACTCCAGACCTGCAGCTCCCTTCCCCCCTCCCCATCCAGCCCTGCCGGAGGGGGCCGTCAGCTGCCTGCATCCCACCCAGACTGAAGCACGGCAGCAGCAGTGGCTCCGACATATGCGGGCAGCAGCAAAGCGAGTCTGGCCGCAGCGTGAGCTGGAGGGAGGAGGGGAGGCCTGTGGCACCCCCCATTCCCGCCTTGGGCTGGAGCTCCTGTGCTGCACCAAGTGGTCTTGGCCACATTCCCCACCCCAGACAGCATCTCCCAGCCGCCGCATCCCTGCAAGCACAGGCACCAGCCCCAGTGCTGCTTGCCTAACCATGCAGCTCCCTGGCACCCTGAAGGGCCCCCTCACCCCCTTCCCCTGCTAAAAGGGCAGGTGCCTCCACCCCACCTCCCCTGCCCAGTTGCAGCCCCAGCACCCAGACATCTTTCCCCAGAGCTAGCACACACCCCCTACACACACACACACACGCACGCACGCGTCCTTGCAGGCTGGAAAGGCCGCCAGCCTGCAAGGGGAAACCCGCAGTTTCCTCTGATTTTCTCCTTGAAATGAGAAAGCCTGCATCTTTCTGCAGCAAACGGAAAATATTGGTCTCAGCTAATATTTACTATTACCTGACACTACTGGAGTTTTCCAAAATGTGAAACTTTTTATGCACATACACTTTGCGCACTCAAGATAGGAGTCTCTCGACCAGAAGTGTTCACTGGGAACATTCATTTACTCTTGCAATGCTTTTGCTCCAACACTGAAGATATAAAGGGCAGTGCCAATTCAATTGCCACTCTGTTCCTTCACCAATGAATAATCTAGATAGGTAATAGGTTTCCAGAGTAGCAGAAAAGGAGGCTGGATCATAAACAAGGCCCTGAGAAAATCACAGATTTCTTGTTGAAAATCCATGGCACATGCGCGGGTAAAGTGTAATTTTGCACAGACTATTCATGGATCTACCACTGATCTTGGCAAATGCCTTGGCCAAATGTTCCGTAAATATTTCTGAAAAATGATCCTTCACCCATGCATGTGTGGCAGGCAGGCACACTGCCATAGGCGGTGGAAGGCTGGGGCTAATGGAGCTTAGCCCCTGCCCCCCTCTCCCAAAGGCAGGGCAGCGCAGTGGGCTGCAGGGCAGCCTGGGCGCAGGTTTCAGGCAGCTGCAGCAGGGCTAGTGGGGAGAAGAGGGAGAAGCATGCACAAACAGACATAGAGCCTGCAGGCAGCCACGACTGCAACCAGACAGCATGTGAAGCACTGCCCACCACAGCAGGTAAGTCAGGTAAGGGGTAGATCGAGGCCCTCACAGTGAAGGAGAGAGTAGTGCAGAGGCACGGACAAGGACTGAGGTGAATAGGGCCCCAGAGCGGATCGTGGGACGCTCAGAGCCTGGGTAGCTTGTCCAGGGGTGCCGGGGGGCTCCCGCCATTGTGTGCACCTTGGGAGAGGTCAATGGGCCACATGCCCCCTGGATGAGCGCACAGGGCGGAGGAGGGCTGCCACTGTGGGCTGGGATCTATGTGCCACTGCCTCGAGAGCTGGCTCCAGGAGCTGGCAGTGGCAGGCATGTGGTGTCATGTGCAGCAACCAGCTTCCGAGGCAGTGGTACACAGAGCCTAGCCCACATTGGG